CCAGATTGGTTTAGTGGATCAAAAGTTATTTAATTTTAAAATTTTATTATATATATAATAAATGATTATATATATATAATATATATTATATATAATATATAAGTGTAACGTAAGACTTTTGGCTGACCCCCTCCCTCCCAAAAATATTACGTAATATCTGTCACTGCCCTTACAGTATGAGTACAAAATATCTCAACCATTATTTCATGTCTAGATAGTAAAGATAATTATATACTTTTTTTCTTGAGAAGTTAGATATAAATAGTCAAGTTTTTCCTTCTCTTTTTTTAATATTATATATATAAATTTTTTGAAAATAAAATTAAAAGCCAGGTTGCTAGGTCATTTTTCAAATTTTATGTTATAAGAATCAAAAAATTAACTTTGTATAGCCTTATAACATTTTTATTGTTAAATAAACTCAAATTGTTACAATATGAGTATGAAATATCTTAAACATTATTTTATGTCTAGATAGTAAAGATAATTATATACTTTTTTTCTTGAAAAGTTAGGCATAAATAGTCAAGTTTTTCCCTCTCCTTTTTTGATATTGTATTAGAGTCAATTTGTAATAATGTAGCTAGTATATGTATTACTGGATATAATTCTAATATTCTTTTTTAGACCAAATAGACCGAGTTTCAGCATGTTCTACAATTGGTTAATATTTCAAGAGGACTAATCATTTTATTTTTATAAGTTTCTTGAGACAAATTTTCTGAATTGATATATATTTGTACTTCTCATAACCATTACGCTTGTCTTGAAAGGTGAAAAAATGCTTGAATACTTTTAAGATGCTGATGAACAGACTTAATCTGCTTTAATCTCTCTTCTACAGAGAGCTGAAGTGTATAAGTAGCACAAGGCTGCTGAAAAATACTTGTAATACAATTATCTTTCAACAACTCAATTCCTTTCACTATATTAGAGCCATTATCCATGATGATTATATACACTTTACTTTCTAAGTTTTATTCATGAATAATATTGAAAATCCCCTCACTAATATTAATACCGTTATGCAAGTAAGGCATGTGATAACATGAAAGTAAAGCTTCTCTAAATTCAAAATCAGACATAAACTATATTGCAGTAATACCAAGGTATTCATGTTTACTTTTGATAGTCTATAAATCTGTCATTAAGTAAACAATATCAGCCATATCAGCTGATAAGAAAGTATTATACAGTCTGATCAAAAATTGGATTAGTTAGCTATTTTTAACTAGCCAATCCAATTTTTGATCAGACTGTGTAATGTTTTATCATTAGCTGATATGCAATGTTAACTAAATATTTCTTTAAGCTAATTTATTTCTTTATGATAGCTCTCTGAAATATATTTTTTAACTATGCTTGCATATAGTATTTGATATTTTGGTTAAAATTCTAAAAGCATTTGATGAAAAGACAAATTTTGCAAAATATATAAAGGTTGAACATCATTTATAATAAATTATATGATAACTTTAGTAGTTTTATTTTGTTATTTTGGAGAAAAAGGAGATAAATTGATTATATAATTTATAATTCAATTAACCTGCACTATTGGCTTTAAAAATAATTATAATATATTTTTAAAAAATTTATAAAATTATTTATAGATATTATAAACTGCTAAGTTATAGAGACAACTATTATTAGGACTCTGCAAGTGATGGCATATGTACTATTAACCCATATCTGTGACTGATATTGTTTTAATAGAGCACATACTAGTGCTTGCTATAATTATACCAGGCTCTTTGAGAGCTAAAATTTCTTTTATATATAGCAATTAGTGATATCGTATCATCGTGAAATAATGCCTCAAAGCATTATTTCGAGACAAAAAATTTTAAAATGAGTTAATTATTAATTTTTCTGAAGATTTTTTTTAGACTTTAATATTTAATTAATAGTAAAATTTAAAAAAAATCTTTAGCAAAATTAATTATTACCTCGTTTTAAATTTTTGTCTTGAAATAATACTCTGGGGTGTTATTTCATAACGATACAGTATGCTATTTATATAATGCCTAAAAAATTTTAGCATATAGTACTGAGGTTTTCGATATACTAATTAATCAAATATATTTAAAGTATTGTATTAAAAACTAGTAGTACAGATTTGTATATAGATTAGTAAAATCATTAAATTTAATAGCGAAGACTAGTGATCAAAAATTGATTCATTCTATATACTAACTATTTTTTTCTAGCAATTTATATATCAAAACAATTAATTTAATATAATTAATCAAAGTTACAGTTTAAAATTTTTAATTAAAATAAGCAAGAACCTTTTGTAGTATTGTTCTAACTAAAAATGATTTGGCTTTGTAAAAAAAATTAAAAAGATAAAGCAAAATTTTAAACTGTAACTTTGTTTAATTATATAAAAGTAATTGTTTGATATATAAATTGTTAGAAAAAAATAGTTAATATATAAGGTGAATCATTTTTTTGATCATTAGTCTTTGCTAGTAAATTTAACGATTTGCTGATCTTTATACAAATCTGCACTACTAGTTATTATTATACAATATCTTATATATATTTATTATATAATTAGTATATATATTAGAAGCCTCAGTATATACTATATATATAGTTTTTTTCTGGCATCTAATTGGCTAGCAAAAGTGTTCAGTAAAAATTTTAATATACAGTATATGACACATTACTAATAGCAATATACATGAGAGCGTCTTATATTAGATACACTAGTCAGCAGTTTATAGTACTTAATAATATCCTATAACATTCTTATATTTAATTTAATTACTTACTTCTTGATGAGAATCAAGATGTTCTTTATAATTATTTGCAGTGATATCGTGCTTTTCACAGAGATGGTATGTCAAATGCCCAGTACTACTACCTGATTTAGTATATGGATATGGTTTAGTATAAGTTTCTTCTAATCACTTAATACAAATTTTACAGTATTGAACTTGAGTATTTTTCTCATTATCATCAAAAAAATAACTGGTATAGCTAGCATTAGCTCTTGAATTTTTTATTAGGATAGAAGAAATCGATAGCGTTGTTTTGTTGATAGTTCATCTTTTTTTTGGTTATGCTTAAAAGATCCTTTGAGCTAAAAGTTATTATAATTAGCTCTATCATTAAGTTCATTATTTGATTTATTGCTAATTTTATTAATTAAAGAGGAACTAATAATGGAGCTTGTTTGCGATATACAAGAAACATCATCATCATCTTGTGAAAGTATTAGCAAGGTCGATTGTTCTTAAGAAGACATTTTTTTACTATTATATAATATGCAACAAAATCAATTTATATAACAAATATCTAGATATTTAAAGTTTAATTGTTACTTATACATCGATATGTAAAGTTTAATTCATATAATATACACAAAATTTAACTCTGTCAGAGCTATCAGAAATAAATTTATAATCGTTATAAATTTATCTTTATATTTAAATATATAGATTGATTAGTTTATGTAGTTTAAAATTAAAAGCAATCTTGTACTACTAAAATCTGATAATTAAACTTTATTATGCAAATTTTGTTTTGACTAGTATACTTTATTGTCTAGTGCATAACACAAATTATTTTATAAAAATTTTTAATAGAAAAAACTTGTATCACTAGATTATTTTCAAATAGTTTAATAGTATAAAGTTATTTAGTTATTCTGTTGTATTATATACATAGAAGGACTTTTATATAATTAGTTAATTAATTCTTTTAATTCTATATTATTTATATAGTTTAAAATACTTATTCAAAAAAATAAACCTAAAGATAATAAAGAAAAAAAGTATACTGAAAGTTCTATTAGGATTATAGAATTTCACAAGACCCGGACATCTCTGATATAGATCATAACTGAGTTTTAGCTAAATTTAACTAAATTTGCTAAAAATTAGAACACTATATTTTCTTAAATAACTTTTGATCTAGTAATCAGAATTGAATGAACTTTTTTTTGTTAGATGCACCTTACTAAGAGCTTTTATTTAAAAAAAAGT